CATTCCAGGAAATAAAATTAAGATTCAGGGCCATTTGGCTGTGTTAAGAATTATTTTTGTATGTGTAGTCTTACCAACGAAGGTGATGGAATGTTTGCATCATTTATTCTATTATATCCCATCCTGCTCTCCACACAGAAATCCACGAGGTGGCGATTCTATGGATGAAATGACCCCGACACTTGTACTTCCGATTTTGGATTACCTTGCCAGATGCTTGTCACTTGCCAGACTTCCAGGGAATAAGAGAGGGCTCCAGGTAGCAGGAGGGAAGAGTAAAAAAGACAAGATAAAGCAAAAACACATAATGTGCATATATAACAATGTAACATTACCAAGCATAGTAGATCACAATGAAAAGGCAACAATCAGCAAACGCTTGACACTGTCAACAAAACTACACTAATTATAAATTCCAGAGGGGGCCGGGTGGGGAGACACACCATCCAGGTCTGGGGCTCCACCAGTTGAGATGGGTTAGACCCCCTGATGTAGTGGGATTTCGCTGAGCATCTTCCGCTCAATCAGCCTGGGTTCCCTCTCCGTGCTTTGCTGAATTAGGCTCTCCGGCCTGTTGCAGCACACACACACAGGTAGGGCCACACCCCGCTGCAGACAGACTGAAGTCAGCTCAGTGTGAGAGGACTCCCCCAGCACCCACATGCACAACCCTTTTTGGGAGATAACCCCAAAATAATATTATTTTGTGCTGTATAGAAAAATCTGCACAGCGCAAGCTCATAAAAATCCACCCTCTTCCTCAATGTGAAGAGAGATGTGTATGACTTCTTCCCCCTCCCCACCCAATTAGAAATTGTACATAAACTGGGTTATATTATAAACAAGAAATAAGTTTATTAACTATGAAAGGCATATTTTAAGTCATAAAGGGGGTAACAAACAGAACAAAGCAGATTACTGAGTAAATAAACCAAAGTACGCAAGCTAAGCTCAATATGCTTAAGAAATGGGTTACAAAATGTAATTTCTTACCCTAAAGGTTATTTTAGGCAGGTTGCAAAATTTCTGTGCTTCAGAGTTCCAGTTATCTTTCTTTTCAGACTGGTCCCCATCTCAGCCTGGACTCTCCCTTCCCCCTACCCCCTCTCCCCCCGACCACCACCACCCCGCATTCCCTTCAGGAGGCTCTAGTGGTCTTTCTTCTTGAGCAGACAGGCCATGGAGAGGAGGAGTCCTATTTGCCTTCCTCCCTACCCTTAAATAGGATTTACGTAAGTCGGGAATCCTTTGTTTCCCAAACTTGACCTCTCTCAGTGGAAAGTTACAAGAAGTCCCAGGTAATGTTTAGTATCTGGTGACAAGATCACCTGACCTAGTAGTGTGACAGTTACATCCCTGGATGCCTCCCAGGAGGCAGAGAGATTAGTATCTTCATGGTTTTGTTGTTCCTTCTTGATGGCTCATTAAATCTGATGGCCTCTCGTCTGGTGGGTGTCTTCACAATACATACCCAGCTGTAATTGTTACATAGTCCATATTTCTAACTTTAGATATAGAAATGATTCATGCATACAAATTGGATAACCACATTCAGTAAATCATAACCTTTCCAATGATATCTCACATGAGCCATCTTGCATAAAGTATATCAGTTATATAATATTCATATCATAAGCATATTTTCATAAAGAATATGGAGTAAAACATCACTCCACTATGCATTATTTATTTATCTTTTTAACAGGCATCCTGGTTTTTCCACACCATAAAGTAGTAACTACACTGTAAGGAGATAGAAGGGGAGCCCACACTCCACAAACGTAATAGTTCTCAGCCTGGTTTGCCAGTATCATAGAATATCAGAGTTGGAAGGGACCTCAGGAGGTCATCTAGTCTAACCCCCTGCTCAAAGCAGGACCAGTCCCCAGTGTTTGCCCCAGATCCCTAAATGGCCCCCTCAAGGATTGAACTCACAACCCTGGGTTTAGCAGGCCAATGCTCAAACCACTGAGCTATCCCTCCCCCCTAGGGGGTATATTATCCCCTATTTTGTCCCCTTTTCAGTTTTCCAAACCAAACATGGTGATGCAGCTTGGTTCACTGAGTGACATGTTGTATGTTGCAGGGATTTCTTTTCCAGGGTCACATGCCCCTCCACCATTTAGTTTATAATCAAACATTCACATGCCTCTCCACCATTTAGTTTATAATCCCCATATTAAATAAAGAGGGGAGAAATCTGCTAACTGCTCCCACAATCTGTAAATTACTGTACCACAGAAAACAACAAACAATCCAGTTGAACAAGTGACTTCTATATTAACTTCATAATTCATGTTCATGTACTGGGGGGTTGAGCTTATAGAAGGTGTTAGAGTAGGAAAGGGACTGAAGAAGATGAGGGAAGGTTCAAGACAAAGGGAGATGGAGCAACAAGGGGAAAGAGGTTGCAGAAGTAGGGGGTGGAGGGAGGGCATTGAGGGAGAGAAAGGCAGGAGACGTGCGGAAAGGGCAGAGTCAGAGGGAGTGAGTAGGAGGTAATAGGAGGGCAGAAATCACTGTCCACGTAAGTCAGCAACCCATGTGGGTCTTCTACTCTGCTCTGTTGGCCCATAGGGGGTACAACTATGTTGCTTAGTTCCTGTGCAGCTTTCCATGAGACCTTGCAGGGAGGGCAGCTGCCTCTCGTGCTTCCAGCACATGGGATGTCAAGCTGCCGGGCTTTGAGGACCCCAGCAGTAAGGCATGGTGACACAGCAGGGTCTCCCACTGATGCTAATTTTTAAAAGTGGTATTGTAGCCCTTGAATTTCTACAGAGCAACAAGGAGATGTGCGGCCCCATGGTGATGGCTTAGATATACGTCTGTGCTGAATTAATACAAGGACGTTTATATAATCACAGACAAATGGTTCATGCTGGTCTGTCCATTTAGGGATGTTTTCAAATGTTTCATTAATTCCCCATCACAAATATAGGAACAAAGACACTTTATATTGCTAATACACAATTTAAATACATCCTTTCCACAATAGTACACTCCCCTGAGATCAGTTCAGGATGAGGTGTTCCCTTGACTCTTCAGCTGGGGCACTTCATATTCAGCCATTTGATGAAAATTGATCCACATGTCCCAAAAGTTAAAATGTTCTGCTGCTTTTGGCTTTTGGAACAGATTCACTTTCTCACCAACCTTGACATGAAATTGAGCTGGAAACTTTATAAAACATTTAAGCCTTTGCTGCTTGGCAAGTTCCTTTGCTCTTCTAAAGGCTGATCTCTGTTTGACCACAGCTATTGCAAAACCTTGAAAAATCATTATCTTATTTTGTGGCATCCCCAAACCGGTTCTTTTTTCCACTAGCTATCTGCATTATATTTTTTTAGGGTAAATCTGAGAAATCTGACAATCAGTGTACAAGGCTTGGTATTTGAGGCTGACTTAGAAGCCAGGGACTTATGTGTTCACTCTAAATCAAATTTTAAAACATCCACCATACAAAGCATTTCTGCAGAAGCCGGGGGGGGAAATTCTAGGATGTTGCACTTCTCTGCTTCTTCAAGTACTCCTATAATTCTCAAAATTATTATGGCGAGATCTTCCCTCAAGGTCTGCTCTGTTAGATATAAAAGAAGATAAGTTTGTGAGGCTTCTCTGGACCTGGATAGAGAGCCCTTGTACCTGATCTTCCACCATGATATTCTCCCTTCTGCTTCATTCAGCCATCCTGTCAGTGCTTGCAGAGAGGAATTAATTGAGGTAACAATCAGTGGAATTGTGGCTTTAATATCTACTGCATCTACAGCAACTTTTCCCAGCAGGGCCATCATAGACACAATGCCCTCAGCAGCAACCATCTTGTTCAGGTGGTGGAGAGCCTCCATTATTCTTGTTTTTCAGCTACTGATAAGCTCCCAGTAAACAAATCTTGGCCTGCTGACATTCCAGAGATTTTTGGGATACCTGTTCTTTATTGCAGGGCGGAGGGGGAAGATCGATCAGGAGCCCTGGACTCTAGATAGAAATGGATATTAGCTGATGGTTCTGGAGCTCAAGGGATCTGCTCCTCCACTCCCTGGTACACAGTGCCCCCTGGAGTCTTCATTTAATTTAGCCTTTTAAACTACTATCCTTTTGCCAAACTAGCTCTCTTTGTAAGTGAGATCCTCACCCCCACTTCCGCCTCTTGATACCAGGTAAAAGAACTGGAGCAGTATAAAAGGGCATAACCCAGAGTGGCATAAAGTCTTTGTTCTGGCTGGGGGAGAATTGTCCCAGTGCAAGAATTGTGGAAGATAGCCATAAATCTTCCTTCTGAGCCCCTCATATGTGCTGGCATAGGCAGGATGCTGGCAGTAGGAGGGGCACATCAGGAGTGGGGCTACAGCCTGCAGCAGTGTGAAGATTCACACAGGGTGGGCAGGGGGACAGAATGGAAATGCTGTAATTTAAACATGGCCCCATGGGCTGTCAAAGTTATGCCAGAGGCTACATCAGACACCAGTCCAGTCCAGGATCAGGAAGGTACAAAGGTGGCTTAACACCTAGTGATCCCTGCCCAGGGCTGCAAATTCTGTGCTGGGCCCCTTCCTGGTAAAAATGAATTCCTATTTCTTGACCAGCCCTAATTCTGTGTAATATGTGTGATGGGGTCAAACCCTTGGGAAGTCACCTGATGTGCTAAGATACCACTGAGTCTATCTGTTCTGCCTGCATGGGCCCCCTTTAACCTGTCTTGCTGAGCCAGACTCTTAAAACCTCCTCTAACACACACACAGGCAGGGCCACACCCAGCTGCAGATCAACTCTAGGAAGACTCAGTTTAAGGGACTTGCTCCAGCACTCGGATGTCCACCTCCCTTGGAGTACAGACCCAAAGATATATTATATTCGCCTCTTCCCTCAATGTGGAAGAAGGTTTGCACAATTTCTTCCCACCCCCCAGTTAGAAATCACACAAACTGGGTTGTATTATAAACCAGAAATAAATTTATTAATTATAACAGGTATATTTTAAGTAATTAAGGAGGTATCAGACAGAACAAGGCAGATTACTAAGAAAAGAAAACAGAGCACGCAAACTAAGCTTAACACATTAAAGAAACTGGTTACATATGAGTTCTCACCCTAAATGTGGTTCTAATAATCTTCACAGGCGAGATGCCCTTCCAGCTGGGCCCAGATCTTTCCCCCAGTTCAGTCTTAGTTGTTTCCAGCAGTCATCTTGGCTTTAGATTAGACCCTCAACCAGTGTCAGGTTGCAAAAAAAACCAAAAAACAAACAAAAAAAACCCATAGGTGTGTTTTCACATAGTTTTTTCCTTTTATTTACTTATTGTTCAAAATAGCTGGCAAAATAACTCAAGAACAATTTCAAAAGGAATATTTAATGAAAGGGCAAAACATTCTTAGATATTAGGTTAGGTGTCAACCACAAATGCAGTGCGTTATTTCTACAACCATCTATTGTTTCTAAAGACAAGAGTCTGTACTCAAACTTAGGACCAAGCACCAAGAATTTTATTTGGTTTTCCTAAGTGGAAAAGTTCATGAAACATAACACATTTAATGATAACAAATTACTCAATACAAATATTATTCAAAGAGCATCTTTTTAATTAAAAGGATTAAATACATCTACTCTGCTTTCGACAGGAGGAACCCAATCCTGCTCTCATTGAAGTTAGTGTCAAATTTCCCATTGACTTCTGGGAGGAGAATCAGGCCCCAAAGGAGGATCTTGTTGGCTCAGGGAAGTCTGATGAAATCCGCTTCTCTAAGATTTTTGCTGAGTTCTATGGCAAAACAAACAGAAATCAGACTCTGAATAACAAATATGATTGGCGTTCTCAGTTTTAAATTGCATGCTAGCGTTATGTGATGAGAGATGTTTCTTCATACAAACTAATTCTATGCCACCTGAGAAATAATACCAGGAAATTGTAAAACTATGTATGTATTACACTACCCGGAGGTTAGTACTACATGACCATTCACCTATTTATTGATTTATTGCCATGTTGTATCTTTTACTAATAGCGTAAGAATATTGATTAAATATTTTAAATTGATGAAAAGTTTAATTTAGTGAAACCTTTAAATTTAATTAGATTATGTGACCATTTCTAGGTTTAGAAAATGAATCTAGAGAGTAAGTCAACAAACATGATTTTAAACATATTGGGTCAAATTCATACCTGATACAATTACACTGATCCCAGTATTGTCAGTGGATTGAGACCAAAGTTGAATTTGACCCACACTGTAGAATACAATGACTAGGGCCCTACCAAATTCACGGCCATGAAAATCACGTCACAGACTGTGAAATCTGGTCATCCCCCCTGTGAAATCTGGTCTTTTGTGTGTTTTTACACTATACTATACAGATTTCACAGGGGAGACCGGCATTTCTCAAATTGGGAGTCCTGACCCAAAAGAGAGTTGCGGGGGAGAGGGGGGCTCACAAGGTTATTTTAGGAGAGTCGCAGTATTGCCACCCTTACTTTTGCACTGCCTTCAGAGCTGGGCAGCCAGAGAGAAGCAGCAGCTGGCCAGATGCCCAGATCTGAAGGCAGTGCCCCGCCAGGAGCAGCACAAAATTAAGGGTGACCATACCATACCATGCCACCCTTACTTCTGCGCTGCTGCCTTCAGAGCTGGGCAACCAGAGAGTGGTGGCTGCTGACTGAGGGTCCAGCTCAGCCGGCAGCAGCACAGAAGTAAGGGTGGCAATACCACACCAGGCCATCCTTACTTCTGCGCTGCTGCTGGCGGCGGCTCTGCCTTCAGAGCTGGGCTCCCAGCCAGCAGCCACCGCTCTCCCGCTGCCCAGCTCTGAAGGCAGCGCCACCAGGAGCAGTAGCACAGAAGTAAGGGTAGCAGTACCACAACCCCCCCTACCATTACTTTGCGACCCATCCCCCAACTCCTTTTTGGGTCAGGATCCCTACAATTACAACACCATGACATTTCAGATTTAAGCCTCTGAAATCATGAAATTTAAATTTATAATTTTTAAAAATCCTATGACTGTGAAATTGACCAAAATGGACCGTGAATTTGATAGAGTCCTAACAATGACACAGATACTAACACATATAAACCATTTTCTACTTTTCTTTAATAATCTATGTAGAACATGCTATGTGGTATCTTTGTTCAGTAAATATAAAAATTATGCCACCAAAGAGTACCTTACTTAAAGTTCAGTTTCTGGTATGTCAGCCACTTTGATCACAGCAAATTAATATATAAATAAATATACAATATATAATTGTATATTTGCATATATATACATGTATAATATACAATAAAACAACAAATTATTCTGTGCTTATTCAAAGTAACACTAGGCTTATAGGCTATTTTGATGTTACACAAAGTCTTTGCTATAATGCAGGTAATTTAAACCTCAGTTCAGCAAAATATATAAGCATGTGCTTAACTTCAAGCACATGCTTCAATCTCATTGATAAATGGAGCTAAATAAATGCTTACATGCTGTGCTGGATTTGGGCCATTCATAGGCATAATAGACGCTTTTAAAATGCTATTGAATGAATGTAGGTTCATCACAATGAATTTAGGAATAATATGAATGAAATTCATCACAATGAATTTAGGAATAACATTCTGCCAGCTTCACGACATCTGCCACTACACACTGACCCTGACCTTCAATAACTTTTCTATCCCTGTGCTGGTTCATTTAAGCAGTGAGTTAAAATGGTGCTGAAGTGTGTGGTGGTTTTGAGCTGGATTAAAATGTGAATTAGGACGATGAAACCAAGCTCATTTTCAGGCTAACCTTTAGACACTGTCAATCCTGCAGCTATTAGTGGCCCTATGGCTATGACCCTCTAATGTCAAAAATTAAGTATGTTTTAAGTCCCATTCAGGAACTCTCCTAACGTAAACCAGAATCACTCTGCAGATTCAAACCATCCCTTGTGTTCTCTAAAACTGGACTGGGCAAAGCACTGGGAGATACACTGTGAAGAACAATTCTGCACTGGACAGAGAGAGACCAAATGACAAGATCTCTTCTATCTCTAATGCTTGCGGTTTTCTTTGCATGCACATCAAATGTTTTTGCAATATATTTCATTTATAGGCTACTGGTGCCAAGATTATTTGGGCTGGGGGCAGTGTCATGTGTGTGATTTGTTGCTTGATTTGACTCTCAAGGGAGAACTGGAACCAGGGGAAAGCACAATGAGACTTGAAGGAAGAGCTAGAACCCTACACTTACCCATTAAAACCTACCCCTCTGTGCCTGATATGTGATCTCCAATTTCACAGCTAATTTACTCATGCCAGTGTTGTATCTCATTCAATGGCTCTGTGCCATCAATCCAGCCTGTTTTACCCTGACTAGCACAGGGCCTCTGAATAGCTTACCAATCTTTAAATTGCTACAAAAGAAAAAGTAATCAAATCATGCAGTTAAGAATGACAAAGTGATCTCTTAGTACAATTACAGTTCTGTAGCATTTATTACTTACAATTTTTTATTGTGGTGGAAACTGATGTAGGGCTCAGTTCTGCATGTCTACTCTGTATAGGAGCTTATACTACAAAAGAGATAGGTATTATTAATTACGACGATGATGATTACTCATGGTAGCAGTACTTACTTATCCAAGTGGTGCCACCGAGCTTGATGGGATTACTCTGCATGAGTAATGGTTGCAAAGTCTGGCTTTTATCAGTAAATAATTCAGTAGCCTTACTCTAGCAGCCACGCTGGAAAACAAAATGTCTATTTTTATTGCTAACTAATGTAGGGACTTGGCACTTACATGGGAGCACAGAGGTGGGTGGGAAATGGTTTACCAGTCCCATGAATATTTTTGAGAGGTTGACATTTTTTCCAATCTTAAATCAGGCAGAAAAGTTAAAAATTTGAAAATATTTGCCATCCAAAAACCTAAATGTTCCATTTCAGGTCAATCTAAACATTCTGTTTTGACCATTTCAAGCGGTGTCATTTCTGTTTGAACACTTTTTGACCCTTTTCAGTCTAATAAGCATAAATAGCCAAACAAAAAGTCATTTTGCAGGAAAAATCAGAATTTTTCATTTTGAACATGTCAAAGAAATATTTTGACAATGTTGAAACTTTTTTCTCAACATATTTGGAAGCAGGAAATTCATCAAGCCTGACCCCGTTCAGTGAAGTTTTGTTTTTTACGAGTTGGCATTTTTTAACCAAAAAACAATTCCTCAAGAAGTTTCTGACTAACGCTAGTGCACTGCAGTGGGGACGGTGCAAGAGGCTTTGTCCCATTCTTGCCCTGGCCCTTGTATGGGTCAGGCACAATTTTAGCACCTGAATTTAGGGGGAGCACAGAGCCTGCTCTCTGCATGTTTCCTAGGGATACACAGCACTTCAAAGAATACAGGACAGTTAGCAAGTAAGTAGGGCCATGGCCCAACCTCATCATCTACTTGCCAACAAAGTGGGACCACCCACTGCACCCTATAAAGGGTACAAAGTGGACATAATCAGTGATGAGCTGCCAAAATCTTAACCACGGGTTCCCTCCTCACCCCACAAGAGGGTCGTTGCCCACCCCCGCCCCTGGGACTCCAGCCCCATCCAACCCCCCATGTTCCTTGACCCCCCCCCGGACCCCTGCCCCATCCACCCCTCTCCACTGTCCCCTGACTGCCCCCAGAACCAGGCAGGAGAGTCTCGTGGGCCACCATAGTGGGTGCCCACCCCACCCCTAAGAGCTAGAGGAACCTGCCGGGGGGGCGAGGTGGGGAGTCCCAGAGGTGCATACCTGGGGCAGCTCCCACGAAGCATCCGGCAGGTCCCTCTGGCTCCTAGGGGCAGGGGAACGTAGCTAGGGAGGGAGCTGGGGGATCAGCTGCTCCCCCACTGATCACATCAAAAGTGGCGCCTTAGGCACCAACTCCCTGGGTGCTCTGGGGCTGGAGCACCCACAGGGAAAATTTGGTGGGTGCAGAGCACCCACAGGCAGCTCCCCAATCACTGCCCAGCCCCAGATCACCTCACCCCTGCTCCGCCTCCTCCGCTGAACGCACTGCCCCGCTCTGCTTCTCCACCCCCGTCCCAGGCTTCCCGTGAATCAGCTGTTTGGCGGGAAGCCTGGGAGGGCTGAGAAACAGGCGGCGGCTTCACACTCAGGCCGAGGGTGGCAGAGGTGAGCTTGGGTGGGGAGCGGTTCCCCTGTGCGGCCCTCCCGCCCCGGATTACCTGCTGCGGTGCAGGCGGCCCTCCTCATGCCCCCCCACCCCACCCCAGCTCACCTCCACCTCCCTGGGCATGAGTGGGAAGCTGTGGCCTGCTTCTCAGCCTGCCCCAGCTTCCCATGCGAACAGCTGATTCGCGGGAAGCCTGGGAGGGTGGAGAAGCAGAGCAGGGTGGCACGTTCAGGGGAGGAGGCAGAGGCAGAGCGGTGGTGAGCTGGGGCCAGGGTTGGGGCGGGGAGCTGCCAAATTTTCCCCTTGGGTGCTCCAGGGCTGGAGCACCCATGGAGTCAGCGTCTAAGGCACCACTTTTGGCTCGTTAAATTTAGAAGCCCTTTTAGAACTGGTTGTCTTGCGGAACAACCGGTTCTAAAAGGACTTCTAAATTTAACAACCGGTTCTAGCGAACAGGTGCGAACTGGCTCCAGCTCACCACTGGACATAATCCCCCTTTATTCTTGGGAATTCTGGTAAACTAATGGGTTTGCAAAGCATGCCTATGTATGTTCCCTCAGGGGCACCGAGGCTTTGCACTGTTCCCAGAAACACAAGGCTGTACCTCAAAGGCACAAATGAGTCTTATTTATTTTTAATTTCTCGTTGGATGCACAACCACTTATCACTAGTGCTTGTGTTTTAATACCCTCCAATGAAAACATAATGAAATATTTCTCATTAAGTGGCCTAATTCCTATCGAGGACTTTTGGAGCAGTTTGAGGTTTTCTCACTTTTTAATTACATTTCTAATGAAATCTTATATCAAACATAATTTGCTCTACTTCTCATTAGAAAAAAATTAGTGTAGGTTAGCCTGCCCTCTGGTGCTCTCTGAAGTCACAGATTTGGCTCGTAGATGAAAAACTAGAAGAAGTCTTAGAATGCCAGCCACTATATGTTACCATGGCAGTGATTTTCTAAGGTAGTATGACTGGCACTCTGCCATACACCATAATCAGCTTTTAAAGGCATACTTTTTATTAAGCACTGCATGCTTCTGCAGTGTTAGGGTATTGTTTGAAATCTAGACAAGGAAGAATGTGTTTGTTGTATGCCATTAAGAACACTGTATGTGTATTCAGCTGAATTGCACAGTAAGGGCCAGAATTTCATTGTTAGGCACACACATATTTTTGCATGTCTTGATTATGTACACAAATACCAGATGTGCCCCCAACCAGTTGAGTACATGTTCAAACACCTAATTTGCTCCCTGTGATGAGGTATATACCCCATCCTGGCTTTAAAAGGGTTAATGTGGGCCTCAGCATCCAATTAACCCACTCGCCTGCACCTTGAGGGTGGATTAGCCCCAATTAAAGATGAGTTCCAACTGGGATAGTACCTGGGTGGTTGCTATAATGGGTTGTAGGGAGGAAGTGCACAGTCCCTCTGGGATCAGAAAGACAGCGACAGTCTGGATGAAGCCTGGGGATCCTCTCCTGAGTAGCAAAGTCTGGCAAGAGGCTAGGAGAGACATGGAGCAGCCACTGGAGGTGGAAGAAGCTCTGGTGGTGAGCCCTAGTAATCGGGCAGGATCTGGACTTCCAGACAGAGAGCCCTGGGAGGAATTCAAGTGAGGAACAGAGAGGTATGAAAGGTCAAGACCATGGAGGGCAGAAGTTGGGTTAAGTTTATACTGCTGGTTTGGGGTTTGGCCTGCTGAAGTATGAAGAAGTCTATGGAGATGGTAGCAAAGAATCTCAAGAAGTGACACTTGATTGCCTGTCTTAGGATCCCTGAACTGCCAAGTGTAGAAGGCAGAACTGGATTCCCCTACCAATCACTAGTAAGGTGTCCTGAAGCCCCTGAGAAGGAGATAGGGATGACTGAGAGTGCTGAGAGAAGAGTATGAGGACCACTGGGTCCTGAGTTGGGACCAAATACCTTTTGGTGAGGACATTAGATTGTTTTGTTGGAATTTATTTTACACCAGAAAGGGTGACACTAAACATACCTGGACCAAAGGGCTGTCAAAACAAGAGGCAAACCACCACAAGGTGGAACAGCCATCAGCAGTGGGTGCTAGAAGAATACAGCCAGCCATGCTATGCCCAGCCATGTGGAGGCGCTCCAGGAGTGAGTTCACTCTTGTACACTCCTGTACACACTTGCATCCCTAAGTTAGGCATGCAAAAACATTTGTGCACATCTAAGTTTAAAATTATGATAGTAAAAATATAAAATATGGTTCAAGGCAATTATGTCTCAACGAAAGGAGAGAGTCCTGGTTTAAGAGCCATCTTAGATTTGCTCCTTTCCCAATATTTGTGCAGATCATTAGCAATATATTGGTCAGAGACTACATCTGTGAGAACGGATAAGGATGAACACACAGATACCAGGTGATGGGAAAATCTAGAGACAGAATGCACACATTACCCAATGTTTTACTTTACAGTTAAGTAACTTTAGTAAAAAAAAATTCTTAAAAATGGCCTTTTGCAAACAAACTCTCAGCATTGTTGAAATGGAGTTGGGAGCCTCCTGTTCAAATCCTTTCTCCCCCTCAGGCAGAGGCAGGATTTGAATCCGGGTCTTTCACATCCCAGGCGAGTGCACTAATCACTGGACTAAAAGTTATAAGATGGGTGGCATTACCACCACCGCCTCCTCCAGCCAGATTTTGAATGGGACATGATCCAGCAGGCAGCCTCTGACCACGCCTACCAGATTGGGCCCTGCATTCCATATAGGCAGGTGAATGCCTATCTTCCTCTGGTTTATAGACCCCGTTGATGCTTAGAATAAGGCAGCAGTGTGCATGCCCAGCGGCAGAAATTTAGATGCTTAGGAAACTTTTACCCTGAGAACTTAGGTGCCACGTGAGTTTAGGTGCCTACAGAGTTCAGTGGAAATTTTGTGGCTCACTGTGGCGCCTACACCCCAGACTTAGGATGGAAGTCACAAAGGTGCTTGGGTGCCTAAATCTCAGACTTTAGGTGCCTATGTACCTTTATGAATCTCACCCTATGTAGGTAACTCTATATTTAGAGAGTTTTCCTATTAGACTGGAGTTGTCACATAATTATTAAAGAAAATTAGTAACCTATGACAGTGAGTCAAGTAGATGAGGCTTTAGTGGAAAAGAGTTAATGCTTCTGAGTATTTAAGTAGTGGTAGCTCATGAAAAGGAAATGTACAAGTGCTCCATTTATTTTAAAGTACATTTCAATTTACAGTAGCTGAGATAAAATAGCCCATTGAATGTGGTTCCCATTGTGTTCAAACAGCTACAGCATGACATTCTTTTCTTTCCTTTAGACTTTTACTCCTCTATGTAAGCAGCACAAGCAAAACTCAGACTTCCATTCAGCTGGGGTTATTTGTACATTGTGATATACTTAACTAGACCTT